ACTTCTTTGGCTTTGTATTTCGCGAACGGTCGTAATATCTTAGTTTTGTATGTTTGGAATATTAATTTACAAAATAATATACCTGGGTGTCGTGACGCGTTTTAATTTATAAATGAACTCAATTCTACATTAAATTTGTAGGCATTATAATAAGATATAAGTTGCAATTTGTATTGGACAACATAAAAATGAACATAATTTTGAACTTCAAGGTGATCCTTTGGCTGAATATAATCATATCCAATGAAAACCCCTCATTACAGAATGAAGCCATTGGATTGGATATAATGACAAGCGTTCGCGATATTGATGGATTACCTTACTAGTACTCCGGAGTACTTGGTTAACTACTACTACAGTACCACAGTGTACGTACTAGTACGTCGTTACTACAGTAAGTTACTATTAGTATTAATATTAATAGTATTCTTCTTCCTTGTTAGTGTAAGTTACTTATTACTACTACTACTATTATTAATAATATTAATACGTACTACTACTACTACGTAGTACTACTGTACTACTACGACTACTACTACTACTACTACTACTACTACTACGTACTACTACTAGGTAGTAATAGGACTGAAAAAGTCACAGCATAAACCTCTCCAAGCTTCGGCTTTATCCTTTTCGAATTCGATAAGTCCTAAACGTAGCCTATTTCCACGTGTTGAAGTAAGTCCTGTTGTGGCATGGGTCACTTGCGCTGGTGGTGCCCGACCAGCTCCTTGAGCGCGTCTTCCCGCTTGACCTTCATGCGCTTGTTCCAGCCTTCTTCGTTGCCCGGCGTGAGCAGCCGCGCCTGCAGCTCCTCCTCCGAGATGCTCTCAGCCATGTTAATCAGTGAGCCTAGCACCGTCCGGATGTAGTTGGGGGTATCTTTATCCGGACGTTCGTGCTTGAACTGCCACAGTCCGACGTCGGCATTGAACGCAAACTCGAGGATCGCGTGCCCCGAAGGCGACCTCTGCAGCAGCCCCAGGACCTTCGGTCCGTCCTTCGGGTCCACCACCACCACCTGGTCCAGCTCGATCGACTTGTTCTGGGGTCCAGAGCAACTGTACCGTACACTGCCATCTCGTAACTCGGCCAAAAAGTCGATTGTGATCAGGTCGCTCCACTTCCACTTGAGGTACTCTACATCGATAAGGTATGGATATGGTCACTATATATTGAGTGTACAGAAGTACTTGTACACCTAGGTAGGTACTCAATCGTCAATCATGAGTATACATAAGTACTCAATCACGAGAAAACAAAAGTACCCAATCGCATCGTATTCAGAAGTACTCAATCGTCCATATTGAGAAAACAGAAATACTCAATCGTGAATATTGAGTATACAGAAGTACTCAATCGTCCATATTGAGTACAGTACATTGACTGATATGTACAGAAGTAAACTCTTCCACTCGAGGTACTGTGCTATGATCAATAAGGAGACCGACTCCCTCGCTTTAAGGACCATCATATCTCGTACCTTGGTGGGAAAAGCTGACATATGGCGACTGGCCTGGGCAAAACACGACGCCGTCGGTGAAATGCTCGCGCTTGTCGTCCGAGTAGACGCGGACGCGAGTCTTGGCCGTGTTGGCGAGCTTCATGGACTTGATATTTTCAAAGAGATGGCGGATCTCCTTGACGGGCGTCCACCGTTTGCGAAGGAGGGGCAGTACCGCGTCTGTGTGGAATGCGTGGCTCCGGATTCCCTGGAGATACGGACCTCTAGTCATACATTGCATCAGAGAACGGTATTAATGGTATTGTCGATTTGATCCACAAATTTGGGGTGCAATCGAATAATCGCGCCGACCAAACCGATCCACAATCGATGATCTGATTGGTTGTTGAATTTCATTGAGAAGGTTTTGATTGGCTAATAATTTTGAGCTCATCTGAAGTGTAACCAATCAAATCGATTTAAATTCCAACGAGAGCACAACACAATGAAATGTCACTCGAAAGCACAATATGTATTCGTACTCTTCGGAAAGAAAGTGAAATAATACGTTGAGCCGGTCCCGGAAGGTCTTTTTCACGCACGAGTCGGCGTGCGACGGGCCCACTGCCACAATATCAAATGCCATAAAGATGAATCGCTGCTGTTTCTGATGCAAAACGTATTCCCCGTCCAAAACGGTGCCGTCAGGAACGAGCCACGACAGCGCGTCCAACCCTACTCAATGTGTCATGAGCATCAAAATATATTATTGTGCTTTCGAGTGACATTTCATTGTGTTGTGGTTTCTCGTTGGAATTTAAATCGATTTGATTGGCTACTTCAGATGAGCTCAACATTATTAGCCAATCAAAACCTTCTCAATGAAATTCAACAACCAATCAGATCATCGATTGTGGATCGGTTTGGTCAGTGCGATTATTCGATTGCACCCCAAATTTGTATATCAAATCGACAATACTTGATTGCATATTGTTGCTGTTTATAGTCGAAACTGGAGATTGAAAAAGCAAGGAGCCAAGCTGATATATTTTAAAAAATCGAAATAAGGATGTGTGGTTCACTGGAGCGACATGAAGAATGAATGAATCGACACCAACCAAATGATAAATGTACACAAGACAGACTACACGGCAGAAGAATTGAGCCAATCAGATTGCAGGAAATGATATTGTACACATCTAAATAGTGCGTTTGAACTTCAATTAGTAATGTGATTCCAAGCCCCACAGGACACCCCTTTATATATACAAAATAAACTCAGTGCAAAGAATCGATAGAGATAGGATTTGGCGAATCAGCAAAAAAGCTCAAATTCGAAATATCATTTCAACCAGACACTCGTTTGGATCACAAGCATGATGATATATATATATATATATCACTTGTATGGCACAGTATGACATATCATGTCTTGATGACGTGATCACCCATATACGACATATCACATTTCGAGCACACTTTAAGATTTAAATAATATTATTTATTCTATAAATTATAAAAGTTTGATCATAAAACATAATAAATAATAAATAATAACAATATTTTTATTGTTAAAATAATATTTAAAATTAAATTATAGTATCTTGATATATTTGTCACATTTCGAGGACGTGATCACGCGTGTATATGACATATCCATGACGTGATCACAGTATATCATAACGTGAGTACCTGGAGCCGTAAACGGCAAGTTGGACCGGTCGACCAGCACCACCTTGTTGTTGGCCGCGACCAAAAAGTACCGGACGCCGTCGGTCTTTTCTGAGCAAAAGTAGTCTCGATCCTATAAAAATATAAATAAAAAAGTTGCTGGGATTGTTGCAGTGCAATTCAAAGTACCCGGACGGTTGGAATGTGCCAGCGAGCAAACCCCACGGGCATCGTGCCTGGAAACTTCTGCGGGTTGTCAAAATGGCGCTGATATGCATGGCGCAATGTATTGTCAGGGTCCACCACGTCCCACGACTGCTTGTACGCTTGCGATGCTTGAACCATAAAGTGTCTAATAAATGTCGATAAATCAAATTGTGCTATTCAGTCAAATTTGCCTATTTTGGGGGATTGATGCCAAGTAATCAAGCAAAGGAGTTTGATTGGCTACAAAGAATAAAGGTTGCAATATTATTGGCTAAAACGATGGATTGAAGTATTGCAGTCACAAAGATACCTCTTTAACTTTGTTTTTTATATGAAATTTCGAAGGTCCCGAGGAAATTTTGAGTAGTAGACCACACAATATTAACAGTCAAAAAGCCAACTAACCCAAAACCTAAACATGAAATAGCCCGATTCCAAGGGAGTTACTAGTTACGTGGGTCGTGGCAAACCCGTCACATGTTGCCAAATCTAGTCAAAATATTGAAATATTATTTTGCATCACACCACAGGTAAATATTATACCACGACTGATATACATCATTTTTGATAGTATCAAGTCAATTCTTTGAATTTGGAGTGGACTGCTGCTCATCAATGGAATGAGCAGCACCAAATGTGGCCGACACTCGACCGACCAATCAAAAACCACAACACATTCCAGTGACCAATCAAACGTCTCAGCCACAAAATACCGAAGTCGTGTGTGTGTGTGCCTTCAAATAGTGTGAAACCATATTCACACTATACACAAGACAAAGCCAAACTCGACCAAACTCATTTTGGCCGACACAACACGTCCAAAGGAAACAGGACATTTCAAGGGTGTGAAGTACTGGTTGTTATATAGTACCTGGACATAGTGGACCACAGCACCCCGGCACTCCCAATCGCTCCTTTCCAGCTCTGATCTTCGGGGAGGTTGAGCCAGTCCTTGACCATCGTCGGCTGCAGTTCCAGCTCCACTTCGTACGACATGACCACATCAGCTTCGTGGACTTCTGTCATATCCAGCCGCACATCTCTGCCTACTGCCGACACGCGCTTTTTCCCTACAACGCCCTCAGGGCCTGCCACGTCATAGACGCAAATTTCTACCTCGTCGGTGTTCGGGCGCCGGCAGCGACTCTAACGACACGGGCGTAGATGCAAACTCGAGGGAGATCGCTACGCGGCAGTCGTAGTCGCAGTGCGGAAGGAATAGATCGATCGTGCCTAGCCGCTGCTTGACCTGCTGGTACGGCGCCAGTGTCTGACCGGTGTTCAAGTCCACTTCCTCCACCACCCGCTTGCTCCCTGGGAACGTCGACACGTTCTGGTGCTCGTCGTGCTTGGCATATGCGTCCGACATGGTCAGCTTCATGGCTTTGCGGTGGAACCCATGGTAGTCCTCCTTCTTCACGCCGGGTACGAACTTGGCGCCATGGGACTTCATGTCCTGTTCGTGGAGAATGACACACGCGTCGCCGGGAGTGGACGCACTAAAGCGCTGACCGGTGGCGGACGATGTGATCTTGCCAAGTCGAAGCTCCACTTCCACCGTCGCCCCAAACCCTTGGCTCTCGATCGCATCGTGCATGTCCAGCAGGAACGCGGCGATGGCGCTGTCCGGAGCTTGCGACGTGTGTGTCGGCAGCTTGGGGCCGCGGGACTGGGGCCCCTGGTTCTCACCGAGCATGGCAGACACGGCGAGGTCAGACTTGCGCGCCTCGTCCATGGACTTGGTCTTCTTGCCCACCGCATTGAGCGTGCTGCCTAGGATGTTCGCGCTCCGCTTCGACATGTTCAAAGCAAGACTGGTGTGTGGTGCGGAATGGTGCCATGCCATTGGATAGAATGTGGCCAATCAAGTCTATCTATAAAAGGTGACGTACATATGGCGTCTTTGGTTAGTGATAAATCGTACCACAGAATATATGAGTAAAACGTCCAAATCACAATACGTGATGCATATATGGTCGGTATTTGGTAATACTGCATGAATTTATCAATACAATACCCAAGTGATAATAAAATCGTTGGGTATGTTGCATAGAACTGCAAGGAGCTCAATTTGGCACCAATAAAGTTGCCAGACGCGCAATAAGGATGCTTCATCGAAGTGCGCGCGGGTTGAGGACAGGCTCCGCCGTGGCGTGGACGAGAGGCATGTCGTCCGTGCAGGTCAACAACGACGTAAGAAGCCTTGGCGCCATTGAGAGGGCCGTCTCTGAAGCCACGGCCGTGCTCAGGAAGCAATTGCATGATGCCGAGGTGGAGAACGCCCAACTGCGGCTGGCGTTGACGAAGGCAACACGGATGCTTCCTTCCGAGCAACCTCCACCGAGCTTGGCACAGGGAAAGCCACTCGTGATCCCTGCCATCCATGTCCCGTCGCCGCCGTTGCATGATGTGAAGAAGCAACAGCCTCCCCTTGTCCACGCAGCGCCTACTACGACTGCGGACGACGTGGAGAAGGCCGCGCCGACCGAAGCCAAGATGAAGAGCGACTTGTACGGAGGGTCCACACCCGTGCAGTTCTACTTTCGCCTCATTGAATGCACGAGAAAGTACATGTTGTCGCCCAAGCTCCGCAAGGTACCTACCTACGTCGCCGCCTTCTTGGTCTCATTCTGCTTCCATTAGACTCTCGCGACCATGCCGTTGCTCCAAATGTCGTGGACTGCGAAGGAAGCGCCCGCCATCCTCACGGCGCTCATTCTCATGGACCGCCACCACGACGCCAAGACATTCGCGTCGCGATATGCTTCGGACGCGGCCCTCCAGCACCGCTTCATGGCGCAAGCGTCCCGCCTTCGATGCCCCGACGTTGCCATCTCTATTCTGGCGAACGTTGCTGAGCATCACTCGAACGAAGCCATCGACGCCTATTTATACACGGGAGCCATTTCCGCCTGCAGCAACGGCCCGGTGGAGTTTGTCCCAACTGCGTTCGACCTGTTTGAAGATATGGCCCATTCTGCCCACGTTGATCCCACGCCCTTGACCTATTCGGCCGTACTCACCGCGTGTTCCCGCCTCGACAAGTGGGATTATGTACGTTTGTCCCAATACTTTCTGTTGAACTCGAACGATAGTATTTCTCGCTGCAACTATTCTCCATTTTTTCATACTTTTTATATTATTGTTTCATCCTATGTTCACATTTTGAGTTCTATTTCAACCATATCAATTATATACTATCAAGTTATAGATCTTTGATTGTCATGTCCCAATAGGAATATATATATATATATATATATATTACTACCACGATGTGGAGACTTACTCTTTATATATTTCAACCCCCAGATCTATACAGACATGGACCACCATATGTACTGTTTGGCCCAATGATAGATATACTATCTCAATTTGTTCAAATGTTTTCAATTATTTTAAACCAACTATTATTATTCTATGCCTTCCCCATCTTTCATGGCAACGTTATGATCATACTATTGTCGATTTAATACAAATTTGGGGAGGGGGTGCAATCGAATACTCGCGCCGACCAAACCGATCCACAATCGATCTGATTGGTTGAATTTCATTGAGAAGGTTTTGATTGGCTAATCATTTTGAGCTCATCGGAGGTAGCCAATCAAATCGATTTAAATTCCAACGAGAAACCACGCCACAACATTGAAATTTCACTCGAAAGCACAATATAATTGAATTCTATTTCACACAAATCCCGTCGCATTATGTCGTCCATCATGTCCTCAATGGTATCAAATATATAACTTCATGACCCGAATACGAGTATATATATATATTTCTGCCGAGATATACCCTGTATTATCCCTCTATATTCATCCATTGACATATATATAAAAATATATAGGCCACACGTGTCCTCCGTACAATTGAAACGTTGCCAGATCGCGCTGACGTGATGGCGAGTGTGATCCAGTCTGTGGGTCTGGCCAACCACCACGAGTTTGCATTTCGCTTCTTCAAGTTCGCCCTGGACGCCAAGCTGCCGCTTCCCGAGCGCGCCATCCGCGTCGCCCTCTCGTCATGCGCCAAAGTGTCCAACCGAGACAGCGCCGTGCACCGCCTCGACGCGTTCCTGCACTCGCTCCCCACAGACGAATCATATTCGCCCAAGCTGTACAACGCCCTCATCTCGGCCTACGCTAACCTCGAGCCTGCCACCAGCTTCCAAGTGTACGCTGCGATGCATAAGCGGGGCCTCGACCCAGACATCTTCACGTACAACAGTGTATTGCTGGCATGTGTTCGGGCGCGGGACATCCCGCGGGGCCTGGCGCTGTTCCGCGCCATGCCGGTGGCGTTCGACTTGGTCACCATCTGCACCATGCTGCAGCTGTGTCGCCAGGTATCGCCCCACACGAATGACATGGCTCAGTTGGCCACGGAACTGTACTACGACGGGCTCAATGCATTCGGGCCGTCTAACACGTTGTATGAAGAGTACTTGGAAACACTTGTGGAGCATGGCAACATGGACGCCGCGGTGCAATTGTACGCCAAGAACCGCCGCCTCCCTGGGTTTACGCGCACGTCCAAGCTGCTCAACTTGCTCCTCCGGGCAACCAAGCATGACGTGGCAGCTGCTCAGCGCATCTTTAACGAGTTTGCGAACCGGAATAACGTGGTATCGTCGGTGAGCTGGAACCACCTCTTGGCGGCGTACGTGGCAGCTCAAGACCTCGGAGTTGCAGAGCAAGTTCTGGCCAAGATGGAGCAACTCCAGGTCACGACCGTGTATAGCTACCAGGTGCTCATGGCCGCATACTTTGACTCGAACGAGTTTGCCCACTGCGGTCGTATCTTTGACCAGTTTCAAGGGTTGCGGTTCCAGCGTCTGCACTCTAAGCCACACAAAGTGCCGCAGACAGGTCTACTCATCCTAGCTTCAAAGTCTCGCTACGCTCTGAAAGACTTTGACGGCGTCGTGGCTATGGCGCCGGCATTTAACGCACCCAGATTGAGCCAGCTCACGGACGGGTGCAAGAAGGAGCTGGTGCGACTGGCGATTCTCGCCAGTGAACAACTAGATGACTGGCAGACATGTGTCCAGCTGTATGGGGAGATGGCCCGCGCCGGCGTGTCGGACGTCCGGAGTTACGAAGCCACGGTGAGAGCGGTCGCGAAAGCCGGCGAGTTCGAAGCGGCCCTCGACGTCAACGGAGGCGACTGGTATCGCAATGATCGCCACGACAAACACTCCAACGGTTGGTTTAGCTCCCAAGATGACTAATAACGTAGTGTAGATACTATAAGCTACTATTTTAATAGTAATCCTACTGGTGTGTTAATAGTTGTGATTACGATTGCAACTACTTGGATACTGTAGAAGGGATTAGAAAACTAGGAGAAAGTTACAGCAATACTATTATTAATAACGTTACTGGTATTTATCATACTGTAGGCAATTCTTCGAATAATTAGATTTTGTCCAATTAAATGAAGGTAAAATTCGGGTCGAATGTGACAACCGTCAATTCCTAACATTTGTACTTATCTTGACGAATTATTTGTCCGAAATATTGAGGATAGTTTTACTGATACATTAGTATCAAAAGGAATCTGAGCTGACTGAAATGGACGACGATGTGTGACAGGACCGGCGGCACAATAATAATTTCCAGCACGCCGAAGACAAAGCTTTTAATAGTACGTACTGTAATGATGCTGACTTAAGTATTGACATAGCAACATTCTACGACTTTTATCCAGGATATGGTCATAAGTTCGAATGTAAGGAAGGCGAATAATGTGCGGAGTACATTGTGGAGAACGAAATTGACGTTGAAGTTGCACACACTTCGACGTTGCAGTTGCGCTGCCGCAATCCAGCCAATCCACGACGAGAATGTCGGGAAAATAGCCAATCATCACCTTCTCCTGGATCATTTCAGCCAATCGGATGGCGTATTGCCTGTCGAGGCACACTTCAACATGACTGAGACGCAAAAAAAGGGCGACACACACCAACTTCATTCTCACAACTTCCGTTATTGATTGCCCCACGAGATGAGTTACATGACGAGCGCGTCGATGCCGCGGCCGACGCCCTTGGCCGTGCTACCCACGCTTCGAGTGAGCATTCCCATCATGAAGGCGAACGACGGCACGTCTCTCTTTGCGCTCAAGACCAAGCAGCAAGGAGCGACTGTACCTGCCTGTCCTCCGCCGCGTTCGAATCCTCACATCGACTCGCTGTACTCCATGCTACCTCCATCGCAACACCAGCGATACCTTCTCAAGAAAAGCGGAGCATCCCGCGCCAAGGACAAGGACACTCGAAGCAAGGCCCGTCCAGGGTTCCGCAAGGGCAAGTGGACCGACGAAGAATCCAAGTTTGCCGAGCAGATGGCGCACTACTTCAAAGAAGGACTGCTTCCGCTGGAGAAAGGAACGATGCTGCGCATGTACCTCGCGGAAAAGCTCAACTGCGAGCCCATGCGCATCACCAAGAAGTTTACGGGCGACGAGTGCATCGGCAAGCAGATCTTCCGTCCGATGCCATGGTCCCCAGCCGTCGAACAGCGCATCCAAGACGCTATAACCGATCTCGAAAGGCTGGAGAAGGCATACCTGGCGCGGATCGAAGAGATGCCCATGCACTGCATGAGCACCAAGATCGTTCGCATTCATGACGACAAACCTACGAAACGCAGCGCCAAGAAAGCGATCCAGCCGTCCAGTCCTGCCGACGACGCAGTCCTCCATGACCATCATCACACGCACGACGCGGCGAGCTTGTTGCTCGGGTTCTTCCATCAAACCCAAGTCAAGGACCAGTCCCCGAGCTTCAGCGACGACAGCCCGTCCTCGATGGTGTTGTCTCCCATTGAAGAAGACAAGGCGGTGTACAGGTCCAAGCGCAAGTTCTCCATCTCGCATTGCGTCGCCGAGTATGAAATGTACATGCAGCGCCGCCCTCGGATAGACTCGTTCAGTTTGGTCTCGTCCAACTAGCAACCATATTTACAGTCATAGGTTCGTCTAATACTTCCTCTGTTCCAGGTTAGTGGTGCGGTGCCATTTGCAAGTTACAGTGACCCCAAAAATCGATATCATAACCAATTTTAAAACAGTTTATTGTGTTAGAAAGAGAATAAAATAAAAGAGGGAGTCCACATTTGGATGGACGTACCAAAACGAAGTTTTGGTGGTCAAAATCCGCCATTCATTTATATTTTCAAAAAACAAAAAAATATGGCCACAGCCTTGCCACGCCGTGTCCGTCGGGAACACGATGTGGAGGCAAAGCTTGCCATCGTACGCCACCTCCAGAGCCATGTTGTGCGAGGGGACCTTAGCCATGGAGCCAAAAGCCTAGCCGCAGCTTGATTTGGGTTTTTTTGCCGCAATTCAGTCCCTCCAAAACAAGATGGCATGTCGATCAATCGATGACACCGTGAAGGCCTCTCTGAGCGCTTTTCAGGAGTTGAGTCCTGAGACTCTTGACGACATTTTCCATACTTTGCAAGGTGTTATGCGCCTAGTAATGGAGCACAATGGAGGTAATCGATTTAAGCTGCCACATGTAGGTAAAAAGCGCCAGCGCCGTGCAGGAGAACTAGTTAGAAATTTGCCTTGCCCCATGGCACTCTACTATGAGGCGTACTAGTACACTACTATTGAATCACTACTTTAACTTGTATTCTTTTCTACCAATAATATCTTTATCATTCTTGACATGTGAGGTAGCCAATCATTGTCATATGACACCAGTAATCAATCTGAAACAAGCTGAAATCCGAAATGGCACCACTAACCTGGAACAGAGGAAGTATGAAGGAAATCCTCGATCCTAGTATTTCAGTCTGACGAACGATGCCTGTGATTGGCTTCTTTCTCGATGACACCGACGACACGATAAGTTGGAGCATTGCGGTGGAACCAATCATGTTCTACTCCTCAAGACCTGTGAAATATTATATATATCTTAGGGGTAATCTTTGTAATTATTCCTACATTTGAGCCAATCCTTTTTTAACATTCATTCTTTTCATCCAATCAAACTGCTTTGCTCAATTTCTTGGCGTCACCAAAATATTGGGCGAAAAGCACCTATTTGGATCAAAAATTTCGAAATATCGAAGATAACGTAAAAAACCAATTTAAGATAACTTAACCAATTTAGGATAACTTTGTATTGCCCAATCACACCTCGTTATTTGTTCGAGTCAAAACCTCTGTCATATAATGCTGACCATTCCGTCACGTGAATGAAATGCAAAAACGGCGTAGAAGCCATTGGTATTGTGTGTTCTACTCAAAATTTCCATGGGCGGTTCTTAAATCGCCCCGATCCGAATGTCCGCGAAATGACCCCAATGACAAAAAGTGGGATTTCTCTCACAAAAGAATCGTCACTAATCACCCTATTATGACGCAGTTTCCTGAGCTGAGTCAACGATCCAATCTTGCAGCATTAACACTTGAGCGCGTAGGCCTCGTAAGCGAGTTTCTTCGTATCCCCAGCACACATGCACACCTATGTACAGTACGCACAAACATCGCAACTACACCAACTGGACGCCCGCGCTACCGCAACATGCAACTACACCTCGTCGTACTGCCCATTGTGGAAAACTGAGTTGGATGTCCATTTTCTGCCCAAATCTTCGAAATTCTAACCAATGAAATCATCGCGGCTATTTGTTGGCGATTTTCACAATGACTCACAATTGGCAAGTTTAACCAGAAAGCACAATAATAGTCATTCAAGATTGGGTTCGAAGTTCCCTAGTCGACATGGGCCACAATTGGGTTGGATCTGAGGTGAGTGTTAAACTCGGTGGACATTCATGGACATTCATCCACAACAGAAATTTAACTCTATAAAACAATACCCTTGTATAAATTATATGCAATCTGTTGTAACCGCTTACCCTAAACACAGAATTTCAATGCTCAAACACATACATACTGTAAGATAAAAAAGGTTATCCTAAATTGGTTATCAAAATGTGAGCACAAATGCTTAGAAAGTAACAAATTTACCTGTGAAGTTCATCGCCTAAACTGATGATTCGATTATAAACTGAAAGAGGCGCGTCTTGTCTATTGGAATCACTATTCAAAACTCAAATATCGTAACGGACTCAAAAGTTATGTCCATTCTACTCCGACGGCTCCAAAAAAGTTTTCTTAAATTGGTTTTTTACGTTATTATAACAAGTGAAAACTGACATTTATTCGGTAGAGTGAAAGGCCGACACAGACACAAACTGCGTCTCTAGCCCTGCAAATCGGCCGTTGATCCGCCTGCGCTTGGCCGCCACTTGCTGCCGCGACTCAAACACGACCTTGGGCGCCGCCATGTTGGTGCGATTCCGCTTCTTCTCCTTCCACCGCCCCACGCGGTCTTCACGCGTCAGTTCCTTCACGGCAATCGGCGGACCGCACACAAAGTTGCCCACCAGCGGCAGCCGGTAGCTCGTGTACGCGGGCAGCTGACCCAACTGGGGGATGCGACTGTCAATCTTGACGCCCGTTGCAGCCAGTGGAACGCGGCAGTCATGCACAGGCGCGGTCGTTGTCGTCTTCTCCACCTCGGCGTCAAACAGACGCGACAGCTCGTCCACCACCGTCGAGTCTTCCGCATCCTTGGCGTCTTGAACCAACGCGTCAAACATGCTGGAAACGTCGTCCACGACGTCGGCGTCGGCCTTCGTCGCAGCGTCTTTCAGCGAGTCGAACAGCTCGGCGATCTCATCCACAAGACCGGCGGCGTCGTCCTCGGTTTCGGCGTCCAAGACCAAGTCTTCGTTGCCTTCGAGCATGTCGAACATGTCGGTGATCTCGTCCACAACCATGGCATCGTCCTCGTCCACTTCGATCGCCGCTTCTTCACAATTCTTAAACCATTCACTCATCAATTCATCCACCGCGCACGCGTCGTTGGTCGTTTGTTCCTGCTCGATCATAGAGAACAAATCGCTCAAGTCGTCCACGTTGGCGGTGTCTTCTTCCTCTTCCCCATTCCATGTCTTCGATTTCGAGGCATATAGAGCGTACTGGGGCGCCTCGTCCAGCCCAGTACTCAAATAACTTAGTGCATCGTCGAGTTGCCTGACCAACGATGATGGTAGTCCTTGGAGGCTTCGACGAGCGGCACAGCTCGGAAAAAATTCGGTTCCGCACGGGGATTCATCTTCAGGATAGCAACTGGGGTCATCATTGTCTTGAAATTGGGCAAAGTTAACCTGGCAGGAGCTGGAAATCGGTTACGCTGGAGGCGACGAAACGGGGAAGGCGGCTACTATGCAGGACTGGGACAACGTCGCGTGAATCCTGCGCCGCGAATGAATGGAAGGTAGAAGAGGGGGATTGAGCGGGTGGGTAAGGATGCTCTTCTCTGGAACCAGGCAAATTCAAAAGTGAGACCACATTGAATGGCCAGAGATCAACATTCTGCAACACTGGCTTGATTGTACTTGGTGTTTGTATTAAAGTCGCGACCATCACTTGTTCAACATTCTAAGCCAATCAAAGCGGTTTCTGTATTTAGTCGTTTTGAACCGAAACTTAACAACTAACGTTACAGTATGCTAACGTTAATGCTGGGCCTGGTGCTGATGTACAAAGATGAACCAGCTTACGTGGTAAGGTGGCGCGCCATTTTCTTGATGACCGGTCAGGCTGAGCACCCAATGTCCAACTAACAGGTCAAATCAGTTACGTTGTACTGATACAAGTACGTACGACCGTACTTTATATGTACATTCCATTGAAACCATAAAAGTACAAGTGTACATGAGACGTACATATACGTACAACTCGTTCTTTGCACTTCAACTTACGAGACCTCGTTTGAAGTCCCATGGATAAAACGTCTTTTGGATATGTGCCTCAAGGTTGCACAAACACTATCATGTGCTTCTCATACCACCATGACTTCCTTATGTACTACGTAGTACATTATTAATGCTTATTGTTAATTTGGATGCCAACTTCCCTATATTGTTGTAGTATTTGACGAGCATTCTATAAGATTCGCTCGTGTTTGTATTAAACCTAAAGCGTTAAAGTACCAATCCTGTGGTCCAGCAATTGGACCCATTAATTGACAGTGAGCCGATTCACACATACTATTATAGTGTATCAAGGTATTATTACTGATTTAAATAAATAGTTGGTGGCTTTTTTATTACAACATGTGTTTCCTCACAGTCGAAATCCATCGTTCCTTGGCAGATCTCATGACAACTGCCGCCGACTCGGCCTTGCCGGCATGGAGAATGCCGTCGAGCCAGGACTTCCTGAAGATGAACATCATATATGAGTCCTTTGACCAAGATGCGTCGAATGTGGACGACGTCAGCTCCCTTTTCTCTGCTTTGGAGCAACCCCATCATCATGCGGCGCAAGACTCGTCGCAACAACAATCTCGGAAGCGATCTCGTTCGTCCAAGTCCAGTCGCGACGATGATGCCGACAGCCGCCACGTGGACGATATATCGGCCATGTTCAGCAAGTTGGAAGCTGAACGAAACGATTCCACCGAGAACAACAACACTGGTCCCCATATCAAGCGGACACGAATGAGTTCCAAAAGCGACCGCGGGGAATTGCCTGCTGCCACCGCCATCGACGACGTACAAGAAAACGAGTGTGTAGACTTCATTGGGTTTAACATGTATTACACCGTTGCTTCCGATGGAGACACATCTCCATTGGATCAACCCCCCACCCATCCTCATATTGCCTTGTTCGCATGGAATCAAAACGCTGCTTTACTGTGCTCGTTCTTCCGCGGCGCGCCATCTCGCCCTCGCGGCTTCCATTTGCGCGTCCAAGTCGTCCTCGTCCTCCTCTTCGTCATCGACGTCGCTCTCGTCGTCATACTCGTCGTCATCCAGGTGACTGCTCGTTGCGGCATATTTGGCCTTGGCCGCGGCGAGGAGCATGTCGAGGTCGACACTGCCGGCAAAGCTCCCATTCGTGCACACCGGCGGCATGCTTCCTTGATGGGAGCTGCTTCCATGCTGGTCAAAGACAGACTTGGCCACCTTCACATCCACATCTACCGCCGCCATGCCGCGCGTCGACGGCAGCTCTCGATGCAGTCGCTCCATCGCTTGATTCAGCCGCTGGTCCACATCCATGTCGATCCCCATCTTCCGATCCCCATCCCCATTCTCATCCCCGTCTCCATGGACAAACGACGCGTGGTTATCTCGGCGGTACTCTTCCAGCATTTGGTTGAGCTTGACCTTTGAATCCGTGACGACCATAGACTGATGATGATGTATATCCGTGGACGTCGGGAGGATGGAGCGCTCCAATGTCGATAGAAACGTGCTCATGTGCCGGGAGCTAACGTCATACCCTTCGTCCTGCAGCTGCTCCCGAACGTACCCCAGCAGCATGTGCGTGTACGCGTCCATGGCGGCCGCGTGGTCGCGCCGCGCCAATGTATCGGGCGGGACGCTTAGCGCCGTGCCGCATACAGAATTGCACGCCGACTGGCACAAGTCATGATGATAAGGATGCGAAGGAAGTCTAGAAGGAAACGATGACGGCGGCAGGGCGGCGGCGGCGGTGGTATAATGGTGATGGTGGATGTCTGGGAATCGGGATGATGGGGCACGACCTGACGACGAAGATACCAGCTTGATGATGGTAGGTGACGACTTATGCAATGGAATCCCTCCTGAAGACACAAGATAGACATGCGGCGTCGTGGTGGACGAGGGGACTCTATATCAACATTTCGGGGTTTCGGGGTTTAGGGGTTTCGGGGTTTCGGGGTTTAGGGTTTACCTGGAAGTAGGAGCGGACGACGAGGATGGTAGTGGGGGATGGATAGCGTCGTGACGTTCTACCTTTGTGAGAATGGAGCTGTTGTCATGGAGGAGCGACGGAAGCAGGGCCAGGAGGGACACGACGGTGCCAGAGGAGGACCAGAGGAGGTGGTGGAGTGCACACGAAGAGTAGACGGTGGTGCGGATGGGACTGACGGCGTTGAGCGCACCCCACGACAGCACGAGAAAGGACAGACCCAGGTACAGCACCCCCGCCGCGTCCATGAGCAAAGGACGGGCCTCGACCTGGATGATGATCCGGACGAGTACGGATGGCATGACCAACACGAAGATGAGGATGCCGACGACGAGTTGCGAGTAGAAGTACGCGAGTCGATGCATGCCGTGGGGAATCCAGCAAAAGGACATGGCGGCGTCCAGCCCGAAGTCGTTCTTCGACAACGCGACCGACACGAACAGACTTGGCACGACCAGCACCACCACGTACGACGACAGGAGCTCGGACAAGTGCTCCTGCGACATCTTACGGACGAGTACCTACACATCCATGGAGAAAACACATGAGGACGACACGCGAAGCACATGGCTTGTTTCGTCAGCTTTACCATGTGCAAAGCAGCAGCGTGGAACACCCATTGCCACAGCATGCACGTCGCAGTCGCGTGGAAGAGCAGGCCTTTCACGCGGCAGTAAGACGACGGATCGCCACCGCTTGAATCATTGCCCCACGAGTTCAGAAGCATCGCAAGCGATGTGACACTCGCAAACGCGCTACAGAGTACATAGTATGGACCTTGCCTCGGACAACTTCATCCAGTATCCCTTACCATGTGAGCGTCATGATTGAAGAGGTCGTCGGAATGGAGCTTTGGCGGTACTTCCACATGCGGAAGAAGGTTGCTGCAATGCCGAGGACCAAGGACACGGAGCTAAGCACCTTTGTCGGCGTCTGCATGTCTGCCGCGCATTGCCTCAGTGCGTCGTCGTGGGTCCGCATGACATGAAATAGATTGTACATGCTCTCTAACAGTCCGGATAAATATCCGGTTGTTCGATCGTGCGTTTTAATCGTTTAACGTCTCGTTCAAGTGGTTTTAACGTGCATAACCTTTATAAAACGTGCCCATGGACGCAGGATTTGTCACAGCGGTTCGTTAACCCAACCGTTTAACGTCTCGTTAAATGGGTTTAACGTACATTGACCTATAAAACAGATACGAGGAGGACATTTCACTGGGAACAAACAATTCCTCCCATGAACTTGACCGCGCTCGACCTTCGCTCGTTCGTCCCAGCCGCAGACTTCGGCAAATCCAAGGCGTTCTACACGGCCCTGGGCTTTGATTGCACGTGGTCGTCGGACAACCTTGCGGTGTTCCGGTACGGTCCCTCCCTTTCCTTCTACCTCCAGGCGTTCAACGAGCAGGCGTTCATCGACAACTACATGATGTTCTTGAGCGTGGAGAACGTCGCGGACTGGTTCGTCGTCACGAAGACCGTCACGGACAAGTTCCAGACACGGCTGGGGGAAGTACGCGACCAGCCATGGGGCCAGCGAGACTTCACGTTTCAAGACCCGTGCGGCGTGTGCTGGCGAGTTGCTCAGACGATGGAGGGGAGTTAAACGCATTTAACGTGTTAGACGATGCAATATGGTGCTCAGATGATTTTGATACAATTAAGTTGATATGGCTTCTTCCGAAAACGCGTTTTTTTGAAAACCAAGAGGTACCAACATGTTGATTCTTTGGGCAACCCCATCATTGGGCGTGGGAATTTTCCTTACTTTACGTTTTGGTCTTGGTAACACTATATTTAGAAACATATGATTCGACATTTTCAACGTCGAAACAGCCAAATCGTATTGGCCGTAGAATTATACTATTAATAAGTTACTACTAGTAGTACGTCTTAGTATGGGCAGGGTTCCGTGACACTTTTAGGGACCCTTCCATGAAGGGATTCCTTTATAGTATCCCAAATTGCTACTCCGGAGTATTATACAGTCCTGACAAAAACTATAGACGCACTCAAGTTTTTGAATTTTTTGAAATAATATTCAGTTTTGAATCATCGTACTTTGGGATTATACTTTGAATTGGTATCGAATTGTGATACTAGTCTAAAACTTTGAAATCCATTTTACTTTTTTGTAAAATTGAGAAAAACCAGTTTTCAGTGTGATAAAAACTATAGACGCACTGCGATTACATCCAAATAAAGCCAAGTTTCTAGCCA